CTCCCCTGGAAGAGCAGCAAGTCCTGCCCACAGCCAAGCCTGATGCAGCCTCAGTCTAGATGTGGCCTCTGCTGAGGTCAAGCACTCCCATTCCAGCCTCTCCAGGGCTTTCTCCATGTGTTGCCAGTGTGCTGGTAAAAATGACTTTAAACTCTTGTCAGCACAGTTACTGGTGCATGCCTCACAGTCCCACTCAGATAAACCTGTCACAACACGGAGGCGGCTGCCGGAGAAGAGTACAAGGGCAGGCCTCTAGCTTTTCATTCGAGCATCACTAAACGTGCACAGAGTGCCCAATTATTTCAGCATTATTGAGCAAGCCTACAGGAGGACCCAAGCCTTGCTACATTAGATTTTCTTTAGTAATTTGCTCAAGTACCGCTGAGGACACTTAAAGGGGCTTAAAACGGTGGCTGCAACCAGTTTCCTTCTCTGGGTTGTTAATTCAGGTTTTCTCTTTCAAATTAACTCTCACTGCATGCTGTGCAGCAGTTCTGGGAGAACTGTTTAACACTAATTTTCTCAATTTTCAGCTTTTTTTTGTTCAACATAACTGCTTTAACAGTTAGTCACGTATATGTTTTGATTAGAAATGCATGATAGTACAGCCTTATGTTTTGGAGAATAAAATATAGATGCTTTATTAAAGAAAGATGAATTTTAGCTATTAAAAGTTACTTAGATAATTTCACTATTTAAGAATTGTTATTTACAGTGCATTGTCAAACTCCCAAATCTAAGTAAAAAGGACAACATTTCTCCATTATACATCTCCCTCTCTCCTCTCTCCTCTCTCTCTCTCTTTCCATAGATGGATGNNATAGATAGATAGATAGATAGATAGATAGATAGATAGATGATAGATAGATAGATAGATAGATAGATAGATAGATAGATAGATAGATAGATAGATATAAATCTTTCCTTCATTGGTGCTGGGTTTACCATGATCTCGTTGTATGTCTTTTCTCTCCTTTTCTTTGAGTTCATATATATGGAACAAGTTCAATATCTTTGTCTCATTTCTCACAGCAGCAACAACTCCAGGCCCAGCATTTATCACATGGACATGGCCTGCCTGTGCCTCTGACCCCACACCCTTCAGGGATACAGCCTCCTGCCATTCCACCCATTGGTAGCAGTGCGAGCCTCCTGGCCCTCTCCAGTGCCCTCGGAGGTCAGTCCCACCTTCCAATTAAAGATGAGAAGAAGCACCATGACAATGATCACCAAAGAGGTGAGTGACTGTTTTGGGATGTCAACCTGATATTACCTACCTGCTGCTGATGCCATTGTTTATTCTGTCTCTCTCTCTGGATTTAGTTTTATCATTGACTAAACAAAGAATTTTTGCTGGAAGGTAAATTAATTATTGGAAGCAGTCTTTTGCCAGATGATACCCTAGTGATTGGCAAGAGGTGAAGGCCTAGGGAGGGGCAGGGAATGGGGAGGAGGAGGGTCAATGGGGAAAAAAGGGTGACATCTGTAATACTTTCAATAGTAAACATACATTAAAAAAAAAAAAAAAAAGTTGATGCACTCCTCAAGGGCAAGGGATTCTGTTTCCTGGTTATTGCCTTTCATCCCTTGCTCCTACCTCCTGTGTTCCCCGAGTGTAAATCAGTAATGAAATCCCACAGTGCTCTGTGTTTAAAATAGTGAGTATCCTTAATAGCTAATTTTGACCAAATCTGTTTTGGGGAAAGACTTACTGATAAAGGTTTACTTTATAGTTTGATAGAATCAATTATTATTTATATATCACATCAGCCTATATAGTGCAGTAATAATCTCACAAGTAACAAAACAATTTTGTTAGTCTTAGTAATTGAGAAAATACAGCCCAAATTAGTGAAACCTGTTGCCTTAACTACCTCTCTCACCCAGTCTGATTACAAGCACGATATTAACTTATTTTTTCCTATAAGAACACAATTGTTATGCAACATAATTGATTTAAGGGCCAGTTCTGCTCCTTCAAGGTTGGTTTCCTCCCTCCACTAAAGTAGATGATGGTGTAGAGACCCTTTGATGTGACTCTATGTTTGTATGGTGCTTACTAATAATTTTTATTAGCTAATGGCAGAAAAGCAAATGAAAAGGTCTCTCCCAGCATTCTTTTGTGGGAATTTACTTAGCACATGGGTGGTTCATTGGTTGAAAGGGTGTGGCTCATAATTAAAACCTCTTATCTACTCCTGTTGCAGTATCATTACCATGAATTATAATCCTGGGTAAATGATATTTATTACATGAAATAAATTTCCCATCTCTGATGTTGGAAGCACTATAATATTTGTCATCCAGTTATCTTAAAGCTATGGTTCAGAGTTAAGGCATAATTATAAACACTTTTATAAGTGGGGACGTTGATAAGGAGTATGAATAGGAATATCCAGCTTTGCTTTCTGAAATTGTGTCAAAAGTAGATTGGCACTTAGTGAATCTGGTCGAGTAGGATTGATAATTAACTTTACAGCAAAGGTGATATCTGTGCCATTATTTAGCAGTAATCAAGTTTGATAAATGTATAATTTTATGTAAACTAACTAGAACTTTTATTTTTTCCTTCTTCCCACCACTTGATCTGCCTGTGTTGTTGCTGTTTTGCCTGTAGACAGAGACTCCATCAAGGTAGGACTCAAATTCACAGGCGAAGGAATAGCTTTAAGGGGCTCAGAGTGATCTGAGTGTATTGCGTAATGGATTCTCCAAGATTTAGAGAATGATTTGATGGGCCTTACCAAATAGTGGTTAACTGCATTTTTGGATTACTTTCACTTGTGTGGTTGGGATTTTTGAAAATATTGGTCCCATTTCTCTATCAGAATTAGATTTGTAGACCAACATTGAGTTATAAGATCTGGCTTGCATTGCTCATTTTATTATGTCCTGCCATGTGAAAAAAATAAACTGGTTTCTTCAGGCTTTGGATATAAGATAAATAATAAGGAAAGGAAGTAGATAAATTAGTGTATAAGGAAATACACATTAGTCTGGTATTTTGGGAAATAATTTTATCCTACAAAATTATCAAAACATTGTTTAAAAGCGTGTTTTTTTTCACCAGAGATAATTTTTAAAAAATTCAGTAACATCTTGGTTTCCAGAGTAGCAAGTTATTCTCCTTAAGTTTTGCATTTGTTGTATCTGCTTTTTGTATCTCTTTATAGACAAGTTTTCAGGAAAAGAGGAAAAGTATTTAGGGCCTAATGACTTGGATATGCTTGTATAACACCAGAATGGGATACACTAAGGATGCCTGAATTTATATAGTAAGCAAATAAGAAAAACAGGCTACCATGGCAGGAAATGAGTAAAATATGATGAAAATTGCTTGATCACTTTTGAGCCAGGCACAATGTAAATATGCTACTGATTGTGCGTAATTGTATTGTGTATGCGATTGTGTTTGTGTAGACTAGGAAGGAAAGGACAGTTCTCAAGCACTGGCCAAAGTACAGATGCTGTCAGTTCCTTTTCTTGTATTTCACAATTGAATGTTCTGGAGCACAGTCAGTGAGATCCCTTGCAGTTTTTAATGAAGTTGTGTATGAAGACTAAAATCTTCCCTTGGACCACCTGTGCTGTCACTTTGAATGCCTCTTTATTCCTGTCCTTTTACAATCAAAGGAAAGTAGGGTTTTTTCCAAAGCCCTTAAATAAGGGAAAATAAAAATTACAGTGGTACCTCGGTTTTCGAACAACTCCGTTGATGAACATTTCGGTTTACGAATGCCATAAACCCAGAAGGAAATGCTTCGGTTTTTCAACGTGCCTCGGAAGCGGAACATGCCGCACGTCTCCTGCTGAGGGCAAGACCCTGAGGCTCAGCTGTCGGCTGTTGATCCCTTGGTTTTCGAACGTTTCAGAACTCGAATGGTCTTCCAGAACGGAGTACATTCGAAAACCCAGGTACCACTGTAATCCATTTTACCCTTCAAGAATCTTTGTCATTTGAAAGGGCATCTGCACACACATAGAAATGTCAGCATTTACAATTGGAACTACACACATTGAATTATTTAATGCATTTACAGTTGTGTATTTTGTTGTATAATATGCATATCAATACCTAGATTAAAAAGCATTTTTAGAGTGTAGTAAGTGTTCCACCCATGTGTACTTAGGAACTCGTAAGTAAATGCATTGACCAGGATTAGCTGATAGGAGCCATTGGAAAGCCTGTCTAGTTATTCTGAGGCCATAATATAAACATTCCCTGCCTTTTGATAAATACATACCTTCAGGCAGGCCAGTGAACTAAACAAAAGCCTCCTCCCCTGCCCCACTCCCAGAAGACTGCAACTATTTACACTCCAGTGCATACTTTTGTGTCAATTACATTTTATAGTCCCTCACACCAGAGGTGGGTATATTTTGAAATCATCTGTAATCATTCAGTATGAGTTTGGGAGTGAGTTTCTACATAGCTGGAAGCCAGGGGCAAAACAAAAAGGAAATCGAGGTGGACGATTTTGGCTTGAGTTACTATGGGAGGTAACTATAAAGTGATTGGGGGTACCATTCTCAAATTCCAAGTTGTGTGGTCTCACGTTTGGGGCTCTCCAGTGGCTTTGCGAGGTGAAATAGTTCGCCGATTTCCGTAACTGTGTTCTGTGATGCTCCGAGAAGCAGTTAGCTGCTTGTTCCATTGATCTTCCTCACCCTCCTGTAAGTGGTTCCTGGTTAAGAGGGGCTTTTTATGATTGTCTGCTGTGTGACTTGAGATGGTTTTTATCAGCCAGAGCGTGCCGGTTGCCTGCAGCTGGAGTCAGGCTTGTATGAAATAATTTATTCATGCAGGATAATGCTCCTTAACATTTAACAGGTAATGAACGTGACATAAATTTCCTTCTTGCTTTTAATTTTTCCCTTTCCTCTTCTAATGTGCAAACAGGCAGCTCTGGCACTCTAAATAATAAGTAATTTTTGGCCATCTGTCAAAAGGAAATTTCAATACAAATTTAAATTAATGGTGCCTGAAATTTTTTATAGCTTTCCTAAAAGCCTCTAATGTGCAGAAAATTCTGAATCTGCTGGTAGTAATTAGTGTTGCATGTAATGAGGATGTGGGCAGTGTTATACAGTCCCAGTGTAACATTTTGATATGGTAGCAAAATTTTGATTTATACAAGGTTGTGGATAGGTTTAATTGTGAAAGACTCTTTAAAATATTTTCTTGACGTTTCAGATTATTAAACAGAGCAGATTTCAGAATAGCTCATAATATATAAATTTAAACTTAATGTAAAGATCCAGGTAATTAAAGTGCTTTACGTTTAGGTGTCAAGTAAAATGAAAGAAATTCTCCTGTTAAAGTGTCAGGCTTTTTACTATTTTTTCCTTTCTCTTCCTGGAAGTTCAATGGATACTAAACCACCTTCTATTGGCTTTATTGATCTTGTTTTCTGTATCTCCAGTAGCCAAGTTCATTCCTAAGTCTGTTATTTGCAGACCTGTATCTGAAGTTGTGGTGGAGAATGTAAATATGGACCTAAAGGAGTGGGCACTGTAGGAGCCCAAGAATCAACTTATTTGGTGATGAGAAACCAGAATGGTGTGTGTTCTAGGGCTGTTGACACCTGCTTGTCACTTGGCTATCCAGTGACTCTGTGTGCCCAACAGTAAGCCCCAGATTTGAGGGCTGAAAATGGCAAGAAACAGACCATGATCTGCTCTCATGCTAAGTGGTAGGGTGGAAAGCTCAAAGTTCTAAAAGGCTTCCAAATAGGTTCCCACTTCTCTTTTCTGGGTGGGAGTTTTCTCACTGTCTTCTAGAGTGTTTAGAATCATTTCTCTCATCCCATGAAAAGACATAAGTGAAACCAAGGAAATGTGTTCTGAGGTGATGGGACTTTCCCCTGCCCATCACTACTACTGAGGGCTGAGAGGTAGAAGTCGGTTGGGGATAAAATGGTGGCAGAGAGGACATTCCTACATGCTAACAGTTGCTTCCCAGTTGCTTGAGGTCCCAGTTCATGAAAAGGAGTCATTAGTGTCCTCACATCACTGTCAGTTTTCACCTGAGTGGCTGGAATGAGGGTGATGACTCAGAGCTGTGAAGGACAAATTGCCTAAAACTTGGTAGGAATTTGAGGCTGAGAAATTAGTCTAATTACCACCCCCCAAAATGTCTGCACAGTTCTAATACTTTCTAGCAAAATATAGGCCCCAAAATCAAGACCAGCTTGAATATAAAGAGCAAAATTCACTATCACCAGCTATTGATTACCTGCAGGGCTTCTCCGAACTCGATAGTATTTTGCTTGCTTTGCTACCTCCTAAGTCCTTTATATGTGTCTACATGGTCCTCCTGAATGCAGCAACCTCAAGTCAGGTCTGCGAGGGATTTGCAATGTTTTATTTGTAAAATATAGCGTAAGTACACCTTTTACCTCTAAGTGGTATTAATTTTTGTTATTTCATTGGAGTGTCTTCCCCAAAATGCTGCATTGTCATCAAAGAGTATGATCATTTTTACTGACTTGTACATTGCCAAATTTATCTCCAGAAACACTGTACCATTTTAAAATGCCACATGCAACGTTTATGTTTCTACACAATCCACCAATATTGAACGTCATGGTTTTTGCAATTTTCGCTAGTGTAAGTATGAATGGTGTACTTTAAAAAAATATATATACAGGGTAGGCAAAAGTAGGTTTACTGTTGTCTGTATGGAAAATAATACAATAATTAATAAATAACAATACAAGAATAAACTCCACATTTCACGTACTCACGACAGTAAACCTGCTTTTGCCCCACCCTGTATATAGCTGTTTTTCAAGCTGAATGCTTTTCTGTGAGTGTGTGTGTTAAGCTTTTTTTCCCTCCTATGTGAATTCTTTGTTTCTGTTTAAGAGTTTTTATGTTCCATTCATTGCTTGTCCTAAGGCAATGCCTGTTTGCTCAGCCCCAGCTGTATTTTGGTGTATATTCTATGTAGATGAGTAAATCATCATGCATTGCTTTTCTTCTTGTGTCTTCAGTTACTCTCTTTTGGCAATAAAGGTTTATCAGTGGGGAATTAGACTAGCGTTTTTGTGTTCAAATTGAAGTGTATGATTGAGACCAACAAAGAACTTTGGCTCTCCTTAGTTGGGTGTTACAGGTGAAAGTGAGTTTTTAGCCTGAATTAACAGAATGATTACTTCTGTTTGCCTCTTCACTTTGTAGATCAAGACTTAATGGTCAGGGTTGTGTAGTCCAGGATTGTGTGTGACCTGTGAGACTTGGTCTACCTACCCCCATTTTTCCTGTCTCAAAGGACTATCTGTCTGAGAAAGAGGTGCCTTTAATATGTTTAACCCCTTCGCATGTACTGTGTGGGAGAATTCCAGAGGAGAAACTACTTGAGGAAAGGGGGGCGAGTAGGAGAGGGATAACCATGTGGGTAGAACTAAGTGTAGATTTTGTATATACATGCTGGTAATGAACAATTTAATGAAGTTTACCAATAGTTAAGGGAGTAAAATATCTAGAAATGTATGCCGATCATTAATAAACAATTCTTTTTGCACCCTTTAACCTTTAAAACACAGACTGTGATGTGTTTGAAATTCCAGCTCCACTTTCCGAACATAAGTATTGCTTGAGATATGCTTTTAAAGTACATTTTTAAGCAGTGT